AATAAATAAGTAAAGGAACGAGGTACGGCTTTTTACTATCAGCACATGAAGATATACAATTAAGCATTGTTGCAGCACGATGAATCGATTACATCCTCAGGACACTCTTCCTTGTACGTTCAGCCTTTGACGTAGGCAATGACTATTATTTCGTCATTTCAGACTGGCCGGGTATGACGAAATACACGGGACGCGTGGGCTCATCGACTTACTTTTCGTTCGAGCTTATACGTGCGATCGAACTCCACGTGATGAGAAAAAGAGAGTGCAATCGTTTGGTAAGCTCTAGGCCAAGCGTGAGGAGCCGCGTAGCGTAATGAAATTCTCGTGTAAAGCTTCGCGTAAAGCTTCCCGCAAACTATCGCGTAAATCTCCATGTAAAGCTCCGCGTAAATTACATCATAATTCCATATATCGAATCGTGCAAATTCGCATACGTGCGGAAGTGCACGAGGTTACCGAAATCTGACGACACATTGCCGTACTATTTCATCCGCGCGGGTGATAATTTCTTGGAATCGTCCTCGATGATTCCATTTAAATCGTCTCGCCCCTCATGCCTTTTCATATCCCGGCATCTATCCAGCGAATCCTCCTCTTTCCATACTCAATCCAAATAACCAACCCCGAACCCGTAGTTTGTTTAAATATCAATCCATCGTTAAGATACAAGTGAATCTAGAAAAGTCACGGTCAGTCACTACGAAAATGGATTAACGAGTTAATAAATTACCCTTTGTGCGGCCGTTGGCTCCGTATGCCCCTCCTCCTCCCAAATCGCCCGGCGAAATAACTTCGTCAGCCGCGCACGAGAGGAGAGAATGTGTGGCAAAAAAAAAAAAAAAAAAAATAAAAAAATAAAGAGGGCAAGAATAAAAAAAAACCTTACGACTGCAGGTTAGGTATACTATCCCGATCAAGCTTAGCACAATGACGCTACTAGTGTATGGCGCAGACTCTGCTATAAAAGTGGAGGCAAGGTCATCGCGGCCATACATTAAACGTCGAGGGTTCAGTCGTAACGTGCACATCGAGCTGCGAGGATCATCCACTAGGAGCTGCTGCCACGAGGATCGCACAAAAACAAGTGTGTATTTACTTAATTTATTTGGCCTGTCTTATTAGCCCTGGGCTTCTCTATCTCGGCCTTACCGATAAATGTCACCTCTTTATCCTCGCGACACGTGCACACCTTTAACCCGGTATACGATGATTAGTTGATTATGTGATAGCTCATCTTAATCAAAATGGTGATTTGACGCCGAAATCTTTAGCCACATTTGGCGCTATTTTATTACCTAGATTATCTTGCCAACGCGCGCACTCTTATTCAAACGCCCCTGTTCTTCGCACTCCGTCAATTTCTTGCTAAAGAAATCTCTAATATTTGTGTAAAATAGCCACTAAATGTTTGTTTGTTCGTTTATACCTTTAGGAAGAAATCTATTTTTCCCAACGGTATGTTTGGTTCGTTGATCAATGAACCTAACTACGGCACGTTCAACTCGCGCGACTCAAAGCGATAAAAGCCCTTTAAGAAAAACTAAGAAAGGATTTGTCGATTTTTCTCACATAGCACAACCGTTTTAATTGCTTGCACATTTTTATACTAATATGCATATATGTATTTATGTATTTATATATGTATGTATGTATGTATGTATGTATGTATGTATGTATGTATGCATGTATTTATTTATGCATGTATTTATGTATGTATGTATACATATACTTAATTATCAATTTACATTTCAGCGTGTACGCATGCACGTGCGTCGTTTGCAATATTATTTGACAATAAAATTTAATATTATAAAATATTATTGAAGCGAATCTGTCTTTAGCGCAATTTAACAATGATTTTACATATTTTTGAAGATACGTCACTTACGCTGGCAATATATTTAATTAAAAAAACAAACACCTCGGAGTTGCTAATCATTGAAGTATCAATTTATCGATAAATATATTTATAATAAGCAATTTTTTTTTAAATAATGATTGAAAATATTCATACTTAAAATTTCTTTCATTATGTACAGAAAATATTTTACAATCTAGTTTCATTCACTTGTCTTTCATCAACGTCTTCTCAAGTCTCTCAGGATACAATTTGATTAATTTTTATTACAATAATAAGTGTACTCCGATATTCGCATCGAAGCGCACAGTTTTTAAGAAGGTCTGGGATAAAGCTTAAATTATGATAAATTAAGTTTGTTTACTAATAATAACGTTAAATTTGCCGAAAACTTGCTTAGATTGGCTTTATTCGGTAATTAAATATACGAGACGATATTTTTATATTTTTTATATTTCCAACTGGCCGACTATTGTTTAGCAGACAAGTATATTTTTAGCTGCAAAAAACTTGCCGGCATTACGTGTAAATGACGATTCTGTGGTCATACTAGCTAACGTCGTTGTGGCATTATCTTCCTCATAATGTGGATATAAGAATCACGAGCTGCCGAGAACTGCCTGTAGAGCAAAGATCAACAGTTCAAAAATACCCATTTGGGATTGCCTGTAGACGTACGTATATAAACGTGGGAGAGCGACGAGGCGAAAAATCGAGGGAACGTGCGCGTTTGACTTTGGAGGTTTGGTGGAGTCCAAGCACGTGGCGTCATCCATCGTGAAAAATTAATACTCGCTACCGGTACTCCAAGGGTTTCCGCAATCCCAACACCCCACGATTAGTCTGACGAATCTACGAAACGACTCGAGCCACTTCCGCTCCGAAGTTACCTTCTACTTATACGTCAATGCTCGATCGTGTGCGAGTACTATTGATTTTTACCGCGAGTACGTCGACCCCGACTCCGTGACCCCTTTGACCTTGGCTTTTTGACCATCGACGCTTTTGGGTGGATTTTACGCTCGTGCGACGCCTACTGCTGATGGGCGTATGTGAGCTCGACGCTGGCATTCCTCGGTAAATTTCAATCAAAAGTACTGTTGCATCTTGGGCTGTCGCAATAGAGATTAAGATTTTGTTATCGTTTAATTAATCTAAAATCATTGGATACAAGTGCTCGAGCATTTTCAGTTTAGTGCTTTTAAGGGGAAAGTTTCAGTTTATTTGTTTTGTTTGTGGAAATGGTTTGCCGTTCGACTTGTTTAATTTGTGAAAACGATGGCTGCTGTAAAGCCCTCGTAAAGTTTCTAGCTCTTAGAATTTCATGAGCTTGGAAAATAAGATTAATTGAAAACAAGATTCTATTGCCAACAATGCTCATTTACTTAGCCTGACGCACACTCCCAGAATCATTACAAATGCTTATACGTGAATATAAAGCTTATAGAGCTTTAATGGAATAGAGTTAGATTGCCAAACAATTAAAACGAGAAGTTGCCAGACTATTTATAAATACGAGCATTAAATTATATTACAAATGGTAATTTTAAATTCAATTACAGCCACACGAATTATTCTCTATGATGACTGTACAATATTATGCATAAACAGTCCGTTTATTTATTGTTCAATTACGTGCATAATAAAATTAATCGCAAACAATGATATTATTTCATCCTGGCAGTTAAAATTTTTAGATTGAAATCATAATATAGATATTGCGAATTCGCTCCAAAATTAATATTATTCTCTCTAAATTGCAATTCAGTTTTAAAGAATAAAATCTTTGAAACAAACATTCTCG